TTTCTATTTTATCTTTCTGTGCCGCAAGTTGCAGTTTCTATTATTTTGTTGTTAGATATAATGGTACCAACTACAATTAGATGAACTTGTTAAGCTGCTTATGACTATTTTATTAGATGCTAGAGCCTTGTTATACTGTTAAAATTTGTAAAGGTGTTATGGTGCTGAAATAGGTATAAGAGTATCAAAAAGAAAATTGCTGCAAAGCAATGGCGGCTTGTGAGCACTGAGGATGTTTTCAAACTACGGTTTTATGGTTTCATTTTTAAATTTAACAGATGGTTGTTTTGATAATTCAAAGTTTTGTTTATTCGTAGAAAAGAAGTAAAAGAAACCTAGAATGTTTACGATGAGAACGGAAACATCAATTAATTTTTCATTTATATTGTGAACACGTTACAGAGAACAATGGATCTTAACTATACTTTTATTGATAATTTTATTACTTTCATTAGCATGTGAATAATAACCACCTTCGTTACTTTTTACAAGAAATAAGCAAATTTTTGGAGTTCCCTTACTAATAATTACTATATAGGATTAAAAATTAAAACAAAAAAAGGTTTTGAAATAATTGGTTGGTAAAAAATAGCAGGAAAACACTAAATAATAATAATAGCAAAATACAGATGGCGTTTACCACGCCGTCTGTAGTAGTACGTTGAACGCTGTTCGAGCAATGTGGTAGTTTCTACGAATCAGTGACCACGAAGTTAATATTAATAACGTTACCTTTAAACATATCAGCAGGTTATCTAAATGCGTTTATGTGTACAGATGTATTTCAAAACAATAAAATTAGGGTTTTTGTTACTTACAGGTTATCTAATTATATTTGTGAACCTTCAATGCGATTTTTATACAAATATTTTTTGATTTTAATGTTATCAATATTAGCATGCATTACGAGTGAACTAACTATTTTTCGATTCTTTATTGTAATCTATTGAATGCAAAATATGTATACATAGTCAAAGTCGAGTTTTATGAAACAAGTCAATTTCATTAAGGCATACGCTTAATGATTTTATGGGCATTCTTGAAATTGAAATAAAGACATAAAAATTTTAATGCACTTTTTTACGACGAAGTTGCGCAATGCCCGTTTAATTGCACAAATGTTTTTAATTCGCAATAAATAATCGTCTAGTCGATTTTGTAGCGACGGACTTCTTGAGAGGTTGCGTGGAAGAAAGGCGGTATGGGTTTTACGAGGCCGCCGGGAAATCCGTAAATTTCCCGAAAGATCGATCAGGAACGACACCTGGTTGTCGTTGCGACTAACCGCTATTTAGAAGAAAAAAGAACCATAAAAATAACATAAAATCCTATCCAGCAATCGACACATTTAATTACAAATTTGCTTTTAGCATACCCTCACGGGGCAAGTGCGTTAGTAGTAAAAAAGTCGATCTGCTTTTAATTGAATGTGGGCATATGTAGGATTCGGGGGTGGCCAGATTGGAATTTTTAGTGCAGAAGAAATGCCCATATAAAACGCTATAAACTTTAGTTACAAATGAACAGCTCGATGCTGTCTTACAAAAATTGGCAAGACGAAAAAGTAGTATAAATAGAGTACCTACTAAATACGTAGGTATCAGCATCATCAACTAATATATGATAAGGATTTGTGTCTATTAGTTCGGTGATCTAGTCTAATGTAGAATTTAAATAAACAAGCAAATTATAGTTATCCCTGTTCATTTATTGTTGATTTTTTTTTCTTATTAACTTCTTGAAATTGGGAACTGATAACTTTGGGTACGACGTCCGATGATTTAAATTATAAGTTGAGATAAGGTTGAACTAGACCGTCAACCCTTAAATTCATTTGTATAAAATATTAAAATAAAATAATAAAATAANTAATTATCAATCGAATTACAATGAAAATTGTCAATTTATCTGCTCGTACTGATTCTACAAGCAGTTTTATCTGTGCTGTTATTGGTCGTCGTCTGTCGTCAATATATGACAAAACTTTTAAACCTGCCCAGTTAAAAATATCACTCAAAGAAAGCAGGAAATTATGAAATTGACTGTCACTGATTCAATTTTAGTCATCAGGTATTTATTTTAAAATTGAAACTTAAAGTCAGACATACTAATTAATTAATTAAGTCCGCTTTCATGTCAGTTCCCAATAGATTTATGTCCAGAACTCAAAATGGTGGATGATGGTATTTAGTGCGTTAATGTAACTTCCTTCTCACCATTTTCGTTCGAAAACGTTTCAGGTTTAATTAGGACACCATCAAGTTTGCTTAGGTTTACGTTTTGTTATAACTCGTAAATGGTAACAATTAACATAAACGCCCATATTTAAAATTAACGCTGATTGCATATACATGTACCTGAACGGATTAGCAGGGATATAAAGTTTAACAACATTAAAGTAGGTATCAGCTAATAATAACTAACAATAAGTAGGACGATTAACTTGTTTTGTATTCACCCATAAATACAGTTAATTATTAAATAGTACGTTGCTTCTCAAAGTGTGAGATTTCTTCGAAATGAATTCTTGTCTGTTTACTTGTAACGTGGCCATTACGAATATGTAGGTGGTATTTACTATAAATAAAGTCGAAATTCTAGGAAATAGTGCAAATGATACATGTAAGCGCGAGTTTTCTCTTAACTTAGAAGTTTCTGTTTCTCGGTACGCAAAGTACAAAGTTAGTTTAATTCTGGTTATATCCGCAGCGGACATAAAAATCTGTCGGCAAGCATGTGTGAACTGTCAACAGTCCGGCAGACAAGACGAATACCTCGTAATAGTTTATGCATGGGAAGGTTTTGTATATTTATACTCGCATGATGACAGGAATCAAAATTTCGCCCCCCCTAAAATCAGGATCAACTTAGTTTAAAACATTTTACAAAAACCAAAAAAACCGCAAAAGCTCTCAATTTGAACAAAGTAATACATATTTTTACAGCATTAAACAAAAAAGAAGCTCCTAAAGAGTGGAGTTTATGTAATATCTAAGTAGAGGCAATACATCGCCATCTGGCGGGTATTTGCTGCTACCAAGAATATCTTCCATACCTATTACACACAAGAGCAGTTGTTTCTACAAAACGGCACTGTACACCATAGTAATGTAACTGTTTATTCATAAAACAGTTAGATTTTTGTCGAATTTTGCCTGAAACCCAAGGAAAATTGGTAAATAAAATTGTTGACTGAATGCCTCGTTAGGCATTACAGAATAGACACAAATGTTGAATATTTAGATAACAACAGCAAGAACAACAACAAGAACAACAGTTTAGCTAAATGCTTGGCTGCGATTTAGTTTAATTAGCTTGGAACGGATGCAAAAATAATAAATTTTAACTGACCAAAAGGGAATAACTCGCTATAGCTATTCCTCGTACCGCAACATTAACCGCGATCGTAAAGTTTGCTTTATATCCGTTTTATGGCGTTTGTAAAATATTGCATTTGGAGTATAATATATGCACTTGACTGCAGTGGAAGCCCAGACGACCCAAATAATACATCATAGTAGGTATATATTTTAAAAGACCGCTTTTAATAACGCTTTGTTTAACAATATGTTCATTCGGAAATAAGTAAAATAGGAACAGCAACTCTGTCTGGTCAACGTAACACAGACATAATAAAAACAGCAGGATACAGGCAAGAGTTTGACATGATTTTTCTCTCAGCAGCCATTATTCCTTTTTGGTTGAAATAGTTTTCCTATTAACAAGGTTTTAAGAAAATTTTCAAAAATTACGTCAGGAGGACTGTAATATTCTGATAGATTTTTCGATTTTTTGAAATTATTCCCCATTGGAATCGCTTTCACTTAAAATACGAAACCTAAATAGTTAAAGTTAATTTAAATTGGTATGCAATCAAGTAACGTATTTGGTCATTCGACGGCTTGTTAGTTTTGATTGTACATTTATTCTTTAAATTCTATATAAAAATATAGGTGGAAGTAGTTTAGAATGACTTGAACCTTCTTCGTAGATTCCCTCTGTTAACTGATTTCTACATTTCTATCTATTTTCTTGGAGTTCCATTCCTGATGGTTATAATCCATATATGGAATAACAGCCCATCCAGTACATTTTTATCCTGTCTTGACTAACTGACTGACTGACGCACAGCCAAAACTATTGGACCAATTTGAATGAAACTTTGAATGTGTACTGACTATTAAAAATAGAATTTTAAGATCTCAAATATAGTGGAACTAATAAGGATCCAGATCGATATGGTAATGGTAATGGAACATAAAAACTTGTTTCTACTTAAGAGTAATTGTAAGGGAATTAAAATTACTTCTACAGGGTTTATGAATTTGAAAGTATGTTTTCATGATCGTATATTTCTCATGTTATAAATCTATTGTATAGACGGAAATAAAAAGAAAACGGAAAAGAAAATAATTTAATTGAACCAGGTAGGCAGGGGAAAGTTGTTTGTATGCAGTAGATGTCACTGCTTAGGACTATGATAGTACCGAGAGAGAGACGCATTGTTCTGGTCGTAGGTACTAACGTTCTGTTGATAATGGCGTTATAAATCACCGTGCGATTTTGATTGCACACATCAATGTATCAAGAAACTGTATATGTAAATATTATTTATAGGCACTAAGAAGAAATCGTAAAATTCGACAATTTATACGATTTCCCTGTCGTAAATATTCGCCCACTACGATCTCTTCTACTGCCATGACAATGGTGATAATTGCTTCTAGAAAACACGCAAAGTAGACCCATAGACTTAGAGAAAGAGCCCGGGCAACAGGTGGCGTTTTCCCCCTTCACTTCTATAATTGCGGCCAGAGGGTGCGAAACCCAGCGTATGAAACGAATTATGTAACGTGGTGGACGTTAGCAGGAACCGTCAATGTTATAGTTATTAATTTATAAAAATACTCAAGTTGGACGTTTAAACACTACATCAACGATTTAAGTAAAATAAGACGGTTAATCGTTNTTACGAATTAATGACGAAATTATCAGCTTACTTTTACGCTCTACTCCTTGGCCTTGGTGGTACTGGATGTGATTCTGTCGGAGAACCGGGCGGTACTTAAAATAAAATAATAAAATAAAATATGTAATTGTCAATCGAATTACAATGAAAATTGTCAATTTATCTGCTCGTACTGATTCTACAAGCAGTTTGATCTGTGCCATTATTGGTCGTCGTCTGTCGTCAATATATGACAAAACTTTTAAACCTGCCCAGTTAAAAATATCACTCAAAGAAAGCAGGAAATTATGAAATTGACTGTCACTGATTCAATTTTAGTCATCAGGTATTTATTTTAAAATTGAAACTTAAAGTCAGACATACTAATTAATTAATTAAGTCCGCTTTCATGTCAGTTCCCAATAGATTTATGTCCAGAACTCAAAATGGCGGATGATGGTATTTAGTGCGTTAATGTAACTTCCTTCTCACCATTTTCGTTCGAAAACGTTTCAGGTTTAATTAGGACACCATCAAGTTTGCTTAGGTTTACGTTTTGTTATAACTCGTAAATGGTAACAATTAACATAAACGCCCATATTTAAAATTAACGCTGATTGCATATACATGTACCTGAACGGATTAGCAGGGATATAAAGTTTAACAACATTAAAGTAGGTATCAGCTAATAATAACTAACAATAAGTAGGACGATTAACTTGTTTTGTATTCACCCATAAATACAGTTAATTATTAAATAGTACGTTGCTTCTCAAAGTGTGAGATTTCTTCGAAATGAATTCTTGTCTGTTTACTTGTAACGTGGCCATTACGAATATGTAGGTGGTATTTACTATAAATAAAGTCGAAATTCTAGGAAATAGTGCAAATGATACATGTAAGCGCGAGTTTTCTCTTAACTTAGAAGTTTCTGTTTCTCGGTACGCAAAGTACAAAGTTAGTTTAATTCTGGTTATATCCGCAGCGGACATAAAAATCTGTCGGCAAGCATGTGTGAACTGTCAACAGTCCGGCAGACAAGACGAATACCTCGTAATAGTTTATGCATGGGAAGGTTTTGTATATTTATACTCGCATGATGACAGGAATCAAAATTTCGCCCCCCCTAAAATCAGGATCAACTTAGTTTAAAACATTTTACAAAAACCAAAAAAACCGCAAAAGCTCTCAATTTGAACAAAGTAATACATATTTTTACAGCATTAAACAAAAAAGAAGCTCCTAAAGAGTGGAGTTTATGTAATATCTAAGTAGAGGCAATACATCGCCATCTGGCGGGTATTTGCTGCTACCAAGAATATCTTCCATACCTATTACACACAAGAGCAGTTGTTTCTACAAAACGGCACTGTACACCATAGTAATGTAACTGTTTATTCATAAAACAGTTAGATTTTTGTCGAATTTTGCCTGAAACCCAAGGAAAATTGGTAAATAAAATTGTTGACTGAATGCCTCGTTAGGCATTACAGAATAGACACAAATGTTGAATATTTAGATAACAACAGCAAGAACAACAACAAGAACAACAGTTTAGCTAAATGCTTGGCTGCGATTTAGTTTAATTAGCTTGGAACGGATGCAAAAATAATAAATTTTAACTGACCAAAAGGGAATAACTCGCTATAGCTATTCCTCGTACCGCAACATTAACCGCGATCGTAAAGTTTGCTTTATATCCGTTTTATGGCGTTTGTAAAATATTGCATTTGGAGTATAATATATGCACTTGACTGCAGTGGAAGCCCAGACGACCCAAATAATACATCATAGTAGGTATATATTTTAAAAGACCGCTTTTAATAACGCTTTGTTTAACAATATGTTCATTCGGAAATAAGTAAAATAGGAACAGCAACTCTGTCTGGTCAACGTAACACAGACATAATAAAAACAGCAGGATACAGGCAAGAGTTTGACATGATTTTTCTCTCAGCAGCCATTATTCCTTTTTGGTTGAAATAGTTTTCCTATTAACAAGGTTTTAAGAAAATTTTCAAAAATTACGTCAGGAGGACTGTAATATTCTGATAGATTTTTCGATTTTTTGAAATTATTCCCCATTGGAATCGCTTTCACTTAAAATACGAAACCTAAATAGTTAAAGTTAATTTAAATTGGTATGCAATCAAGTAACGTATTTGGTCATTCGACGGCTTGTTAGTTTTGATTGTACATTTATTCTTTAAATTCTATATAAAAATATAGGTGGAAGTAGTTTAGAATGACTTGAACCTTCTTCGTAGATTCCCTCTGTTAACTGATTTCTACATTTCTATCTATTTTCTTGGAGTTCCATTCCTGATGGTTATAATCCATATATGGAATAACAGCCCATCCAGTACATTTTTATCCTGTCTTGACTAACTGACTGACTGACGCACAGCCAAAACTATTGGACCAATTTGAATGAAACTTTGAATGTGTACTGACTATTAAAAATAGAATTTTAAGATCTCAAATATAGTGGAACTAATAAGGATCCAGATCGATATGGTAATGGTAATGGAACATAAAAACTTGTTTCTACTTAAGAGTAATTGTAAGGGAATTAAAATTACTTCTACAGGGTTTATGAATTTGAAAGTATGTTTTCATGATCGTATATTTCTCATGTTATAAATCTATTGTATAGACGGAAATAAAAAGAAAACGGAAAAGAAAATAATTTAATTGAACCAGGTAGGCAGGGGAAAGTTGTTTGTATGCAGTAGATGTCACTGCTTAGGACTATGATAGTACCGAGAGAGAGACGCATTGTTCTGGTCGTAGGTACTAACGTTCTGTTGATAATGGCGTTATAAATCACCGTGCGATTTTGATTGCACACATCAATGTATCAAGAAACTGTATATGTAAATATTATTTATAGGCACTAAGAAGAAATCGTAAAATTCGACAATTTATACGATTTCCCTGTCGTAAATATTCGCCCACTACGATCTCTTCTACTGCCATGACAATGGTGATAATTGCTTCTAGAAAACACGCAAAGTAGACCCATAGACTTAGAGAAAGAGCCCGGGCAACAGGTGGCGTTTTCCCCCTTCACTTCTATAATTGCGGCCAGAGGGTGCGAAACCCAGCGTATGAAACGAATTATGTAACGTGGTGGACGTTAGCAGGAACCGTCAATGTTATAGTTATTAATTTATAAAAATACTCAAGTTGGACGTTTAAACACTACATCAACGATTTAAGTAAAATAAGACGGTTAATCGTTTCAAGATGCAAGTGAGGAATTCCGTAACGAACTATTGTGGATTTTTACAGACCTGATCAAATTTTCAAGTCCACTTCTTCGACACCTGTTGCTTTCATACAGTTTCTCTAGTTTCTTTTCTAATTTTCTAAATAAGTATAATTTTTATATACCGCATGCGAAAAAAATTATCATAGTATAGGGAATTTTATATACAGTATCCGAATTGCCTCTTCATAGAAACAGATCACAATGTTCAGAATAACCGAATATAATGCTAATTGCTTAATTAACTAACAGACACTACTTAATACTAAAATTAATTAAAATCTGATTAACAGAATTGCAGCAGCGCAAGTTGCGTTTTTGCGATCGTTAAAAGTTTGACTGTACGGTGTATATCGATTTCCTATACTATTAGGTATCACTTCTGTAACGGAAAATATCCGGTCGTCTCGCAAAGTTTATTGGTCGTAAATTAGGAAACATGCTGAAACACCATTGCACATACTTAATATATGTATATTATAAAATAGAATAACGTTGCACAATCTGTTTAATCTATACGTATTCGTAATTATTTTAATTGGCAATATCTATTACGAATTAATGACGAAATTATCAGCTTACTTTTACGCTCTACTCCTTGGCCTTGGTGGTACTGGATGTGATTCTGTCGGAGAACCGGGCGGTACTCCATTCAATACTCCCTCAGAGTATACGGATAAGGGTGGCAAATAAATGGGCGGATAAAGGTTAGGGTACAGGCTCGAATGCGCCGTCAGGTGACTAAGTGGAATGTGGTTGTACGTGTATCGAGCAGCCTTCACCGCCGCAAGGGCTCGAATCTCGATGAATGCTAAAAAGAAAAAGCATTGCAAAATTCAACGAAATATTAGTACAAGTTTGATAAAATGTCGTAAAATCAAGTCTGGTGATGCCCTGATTCGGGTTTAAAGGTCGTCGTTGGTTAGAGTTGCTTTCTAACGTTTCGCTAGCAGGAGTGGCGAGCTTCTTCAGAACTCCTTCCATTTCTGCTGCTGGATGTCGATGTAGACTGTAGACCAATGTACTTGCAGCATCAGAGATGAAAGGACCTTTGAAGAAGCTCGTCACTCGTGCTAGCGAAACGTTAGAAAGCAACTATAACTGACCACCACGACTTTTAGACCCGAATCAGGATAGTCTGATAGATAGAAGTCTGTCTGTCCATCCGTTCGTTTATCATCCTCAGAGGTGGATCTAATATAGGTAATTTGGATTATAAAGTAAAAAATATTCTAAAATTTTAAAAATTTGAATCATTAGGTTAGCAACTCTGGGATAGATCAACTCGTGTGCGCGCTTATCGAGCGGAACGGGGTATTCCCCGTCGTTTCTTTTCGGAATAACAGAAGAATAGTCCGATTTTCGGCCGCTCTTTCTGTGGCTAACTGAGTGTTGAACCAACAAAAATTGAATCCCTGAGTGTTTAAAAAAACTCCAATATAATGGCTAATCGTAAATGATGGAGATGCATGTCGTTTATCAAAAACGAAATGTACCTATTAATAGTAAAGATTTTGAAAATTTGAGAAGTGGAATCATTTTATATTTTTATCTTGCTGCTAAGAAACTAATTGAAAGTTCATTTCGTGAAGAATTGTCTTGAAATATAATTAATTATGTCGCAAAAGCATGAAGATAGATACATAGCACAAATGCGGCTACTCGTTATAATATGAGTATAAACAAGTGGTAATTTTCAGTATGACATAAGCAATCAAGGATATACATATAATAAGATTGGAATAGTTTACCTTTAGTATAATAGTATTTATTTCTGCGAAACAATCTGTTAATAGTACCATGTCGAATTCGGATGACAGTAATTAGTTTTTGTGAACCTAACAGTGTTTTTTTTCTTTCCTGATGGTCCTTATCGTGAAATTCGTTTTGCTCGTTAACTTGCACGTCTACGCAGATAGAATTTAATGATCGTGCCAAAGATCGTATTAATCTTTTGACAGTATAATTAAATATATATTTCAAACAATATAGGTAACGTCTGTGTAGGAACTGTGATTACTACAAACAATAAAAACAAAATGAAATCGCTTGTTACGTACGCTTTTATCAGTTCATAAAACGGGGCAAATCAAATAAATCAAATTGTTGTATAATTTCCGAAAGCTTTCATTAAACTGTGCAAAAACAATGTAATGATGACTGACGTATCTGTGAACGCGAAGGCAATTTTAGTTAAAGTGAATGAGAGTAAAGATTTCCGGGGCTAATGTCATTAAAGGACGAGGATTGGTCTTGAAAGTGCGGATCACATTAATTGCTGGCAAGACTTTCGCTTGTTAACGGCGAAACATGGGCGGTTGGTGCCTGAAGGCACACGAAGACTTGTCTACACCTATTTAAAAAAATGCATACTACCGAAGTGAATACTTCACATACCGAATTACTTGAATGACGAGCAGAGAAAACAAAAATCGTAAGATTCTTAATCGTATCTACCTATCTGTAGGAATGACTGACAAGCGTCTTGAAGCACCCGACATGTACGGCTTGCCTATCATGTACCTGGATAATCGGCTGACCTGTAGGGTCTCCCGTTTCTTAAATGGATTAATCCCTAGGGAGTCTTCTAACATTGAACACTAATGAAGGGAGTAGCCCTCAGACTCGGAACTATGCAAACCCTCATAGTAGGTTCAAAGTTAAGTACTTTATCCAGCAATTGGGTCCCCCCACCCACTTGCTACCTGTAGGGACATTCCGATGGTTAACAGTGTTCTGAAACAGTCCTCATTGGACAACGTACATTTCTCATATCTAATTTAATCGACCCTGCCTTTACCCTCCAAATGGATGAGACTACACGCTACACCATACAGAGATACATCCTTGGCCTCATCTACACTACGCCTCTGCCACATGCGCTCATTGGCAGTCATCAATACATTGTGGTTAGATAGCGCAATCACATCCTAGATTATTCCTGTACCTGTCATGGTTCCTACCCGATTGACCCTTGAGGTGTCAACAGCCCCGTCAGGGTTGCCTCGCTGTCAATGAGTATCAGTGTCGTTGGAGAGGGATTTACCCCAAATCAACTGCCACTGTTGTGCTGCACTTTTAATACGTTTGTCTGCCAGCCGTAGGTGGGCTCTTTCCCTTGGATTTCCAACAGTACTACCAACACTTTGCCATCGGATTTCCGCTTACGCCAGACCAACCATTTCTTTCCGCTTTCTACATTTACTTCTAGATGCCTGAGGATCCTACAACTATCTCTATACTCGCGTATGGGTCACCGTCTCGACCTTGAAGGGACATCATGAAGAAACTCGGGTGAAGAATTTGAATTTAAAGATTGTTAATTTAAAAAAAAATGAAAAGGTGGTGACATAGTGTCACCAGACGGGTGATATTAAACCGATGTGCTGCATTAGTCTCCGAACCTGGTGGAATTGACGTAATGCAATTGATGGAGAAGAGTTTAGCATGCATAACCAGAAAGTCGTACTAGAAACCACGTTTGAAGGGCTGCGGCTTAGGAGATTCATGTTAAGCGTTCACGGTGTTCTGCGGAGGAGTTCCGCGAGATACGACCTTGTCCTAGAGAAAATATACACAATTCTGCGAAAAGAAATCATTCTGTTCCAAACCATTAACGAACATCTATTGAAACTCAAAAAGTCCTTGAAAGAATATTTTTCAAAGGAGTCACACAGTCGCAGAATAGCCAGTGATTATGAATATAGAATCCATTCGCAAAACCAAAATCATCTATGTCGGAGTGATCGATATCAAGAACTTATCCTCCTTAAAACAAATTCGAAAGCTGGTTCAAATTTCAATGACTTTTAGATCAAACTTAATGATGGATACCCTGCAGTCGTTGAGAAGGTTATCGCAGTTCCTGTTTCTATTTATTTCGACTTCAGATTACAGACGAGCTTTTCAGTTTAAGCTTACACTAAAAACAAATTGAAAACTAGATTGAATACCACTCTGGATATTCAAATTGTATTGTCGGACAATAAATCAAATTTTAAGGTTATTATAAGCATTATCAGCATATGAAATATATACGTGCAATAAAGATTTTGAATTCAAAATTCAATTTGAACAACATGTAAACAATAAGGTAGGTCCAGGAGTCAGACATAAAACTATCATCACTTTACTTTTTTGTCGTGATGGGGTTCTATCCATAAAAAGGGTAATCAGAAAGGGTTCCGTAGCAAAAAAATTAGGAACCGCTGGTTTATATTATAAAAGGTTTAACAGACAGCGTTTATTTTATAATGATGGTGTGATCTCTCTGTTATTTTGGCATGAGCTTTACTGTACTATCTTAAAAGATATCCATGCCCAAATATAGACGGTCTAAAACATTTCTGCACATGTGTATACTTATGTAAGATATAATATTGGAGTATAGGTAGATATGTATATTTTATGAACGTTTAAAATATCCGATTCTGTATAAAATAGGCGAAAGACAGCAACAATTTTTCGGAAACCATCTTCCTAAATCGACCGTTCGGAGTTTAGAGATAAGTCATAAGTTTTACGATGGCCGACTCAGCACAATTGTATTACCTATACTTCGTCGTAGTACAGTCTGATCCATAAAATCTACGGTTGTTAAAAGTAGATAGGAACGAAATCAATTCATTCTCACATAAATGTTAGACCTGAATTTTACGATTCGAGGAGCTATCGTAATCTCCAAACGCGGAAATCCCATCTGGAAATTCTACCTAACGATGAGGCTTTCTTAACAATTGGCCAATTCCCCAAACGAAGCGCGTTCAAGAAAACTAATATTTTATAACGCAATCAATCAGTTTTGCTAATAAAATGTTGCACGTGTGTATACAATACATATGTACAACTGAACAATTTCTTTTACGGAAAGATTTTTTTTTAAGAACACGTGAGGCTTTAAGGATGTTGATGGGAGGTACAATTGGAGACAAGAGTACATAAAATTAGAAATTCGTGATTAATTAGGTTTTGTAGCATATCATGGGGTAAATAAATACTATTTGTACTAAAAAAAAAAAGTATACGGTTTAAGAGAAAATTTGGAATTTGATCAAAAACTTTGAATAAAATAAGAAATAACGAATAATATGGAAAATTTTTAACTGACTTTTGGCAGTGAATATGCCTTGATTTCAACTTCGAAACAAAAAAATATTTAGTTTCAATCTCTATTAATAATGAGCGTAAAACTTTTTAATATGTTTAAATAATAATTAAAACTTTAAAATTGCATTTATTTCAGACAATTATAAATATTATCATTATATTATCAAGTAAAAACGAGATTTTCAGCTAATTTTTCATTTTTTCCTCGATAACCATTTAGTGAATTTGAATAACCTTACGCTAAAGTGATTCTCCAGAGTTCAAGTTACTTATTATAAAAGTTTGAAATTTCTAGTAGCTTTTTTTCTGTTAATAAAAATAAATTTAATCTGTTCAGTTAACGAATCTCCATAAAATGACGTGTAAAATTACAATTTTTTAAAATTTCAATAGCTTTTTAACGGTTTAGTGAATCGATTAGTAATTTTTACAGGAGTTTTAGAATTGAATGAGGAACGTTCTTCCAAATTTTTATTTGTCTCGTAGCATTTTGACATACCTCCCAAACATCCTTAAGAACGGAAATTATTATAAGAAACATGCAAATATGTACAAGAGTAATTAGTTTATTACTAAGACATCTGGAACCCTCATGGGAAGTTGCTGAATTTAAGTTATTATTTTCAAGAGTCAAACATGTAGTAACCATTTTGTACTAGTGAAATTACTAGGTGCATATGCGCTTACGAACACCTTTGTAATACG